AAAAAAAAAAAAAAAAAAAAAAAAAAAAAAAAAAAGTTTTCCCTTTACTAAAAATATTAAACAAAGATTAAAGGAATAGTTTGATGTTTTAAAACATCAGAAAGTAGTTGATCCTTGCAACATTAATCAACAAAATGGTACATTTTTCATTTATTTGGAGATTTTTAATCTAAAGCTTATCATAGTTGCATTACTAGATTACAAATCTTGTTTGGTGTCTGAATTTTCCCCTACTTTCTGATGTTTTAAAACATCAAACTATTCCTTTAATCTTTGTTTAATATTTTTAGTAAAGGCAACACTGTCTATTTGTTTACTCATTACTTTCAATGATCATGAAGATGTTTTACTTACTATGGTTTAATCCCTTTTAGGTCAGTGGAATGGGACTATGTTGATATATTGGGATGTATTACATTTTAATCAATATCTAGTTTTACAGTAGTATCTAATGTGTGTGTGTGTGTGTGTGTATGTGTATGTGTGTGTGTGTATGCTATTTACTTTTGGATTTCTAACTAATAAACAAGATAAATTTTTTCATGTCAATTTTTCATAGTTGCATATGCATCCCATTGTGATCTCATCAATCAAGAACTCTTTGCTCCATGTCACATATACATCAGTCCAGATTTATATTATCAGCTATGTCGCTTTGATGCTTGTAAATGTGGGAGAAGTTGCTTGTGCAATGCATTTGCACACTATGCTTATATTTGCAGCAAACATGGGATTACTATAGATTTCAGATCTCATGTTTCATACTGTGGTAAGTAAAACAGAAATGAGAATACCAACCAAATAGGACCTGATCTGAATTCCTTTATTTCTTAATCAAGTCTATAATGTGAAGCTGGTTATTATGTTGAATCAAAGTAGATATTCGAAATGTATGAGACTATCTGTGTATAGTAAAAAGTAGCTAATTTAAGATAGCTTTAACCCAATTTACTGTACCTCTACAGAAGAAAAAATTCTGACACCTTTAGCTTCCTATTGCCTAATAAATACAGCTACATGTCTATCCCCCATGCAAAATCTACATTGGTCTTGGTGTACTGAGAATGGGAGTGAATGTGCATATGTTCAAATTAGGTGATTTAAAATGCAGCGCTGGCTGAATGACTTATATTTCTAACTTGAAATTAGGATTTTCTTGGAGACCCCATGGGAGAAAAGCTGCCTGGCATGTATTTATGATTAAACACTTCCCCCCTGCCACCATTCTGCTAAATGTTGCTTTATGAATACCTGTGTTTGTCTGCCACCTAGGGGTGGGATTCTACCAGTTCTGGCAGGTTCGGATGAACCTGTAGCTCCGAAGATCAGCTTGGAGCGAACCAGTTCGCTCCCACGAGCAAGTAGGCCCGCCTGCCCCTGCACTTTACCTACCTTTATCTTCTCAGCTGAGTCACAGAGTGGATTGCCACACCTCAGCTGTTTTCCTCCCCAAGGAGCAATCTGAAAGCTAAGTATTCTCTAAGTTGTGCATGCGCGCACAGTGCGCATCCTGGCAAAGTGCACGTTCAGTTAACTGGTTATTAAATTGATAGGATCCCACCCCTGCTACCACCTATTATATGTAACCAATTTCTCAAGCAAAGTTTCTGGAGGGCAATCTGTTCTAACCTAGAGTAGGCTTAACTGAGAAAAAAAGAGAGAAGATTTTGTGCTATATTTTGTATAGAATTTCTGATATTCCTGCAATTTGATGTATCTCCCTAGCATTAGCATGCAGAAGTGGAATGCTGTATCACCCATGTTCCTCCTTCTGTGAACACTCCTGTTCTTCCCTTTCTCTTGTGGACGCTTGTGATAATGACTGCGCTGAAGGCTGTAACTGCCCTGAAGGAAAATACTTCGAAGAATCTATTAATTTTTGCGTGCCAATGTAAGCTATAGCAAATTTAGTTAAATGCATTTTTAAACTAGCACAAAGCCATGCTATTGTGACTCTGTGTTTAAGAGGAAGAAACAGTGAGGTTTGGCATGATGTCTCTGCTCAATTGCCCCATTTGGAGAAAAGGGTTAGGGTTAGGATTAAAAATGCAAAAGAATGCAACCAATATGATCAGATGACTCAAATATTTTTCCTATCAGAAAAAGTTAGAACATTTGAGACTTCCATAGTTTAGAGAAAAGGCAACTGAGGAAAAACATGATTGAGGTGTATAAAAGCCATGGTGGCACAGTAGTTAGAATGCAATATTGTGGACTGATTCTGCTGACCACCAGCTGACTGCCAGCAGTTTGATTCTCACTGGCTCAAGGTTATCTCAGTTGCCCATCCTTTTGAGGCAATAAAATGTGGATACAGATTGTTGGGGCCAATATGCTGACTCTGTAAACCGCTTAGAGAGGACTGTAAAGCACTGTGATGCCAGTATATAAATCTAAGTCCTGTTGCTGTTGCTATGGTCAGGCAAATCTTTCTCTCCAACTCACAAAGCAGAATCAAGTCATCCAATGAAGCTGATTACTAAATATAGTAACAAAAGGATACAGTTTTTCATTCAGCATATAATTAACCTTTGTCATTCATTATCACAAAATTATGATGGTAGACAATAATTTGGATGGCTTTAGAGAAAATTGAATAAATTCTTGGAGGACAGAACTGTTGAGATCTATTTGTCTTGAAGTATTAAAGTTACCCCCAGAATGGATGGGGAGGGGGCTTACCTATCTCAGAGGTATCTGGTTGGTCAACTATAAGAAACTGAACTAAGATGGCTGTTTTTATGTTCTTAAAACAATCTCCTACTAGAATTTGCCTCAGCAGGTGGCAGCACCTAGCTAACCTTAGTTGATCTCAGAACCTAAGCCAGAGCTTCCCAAACTTGAGTAAATTATTCAAAATTGAGTAAAAGTGAGATTTTGGGAGATAACAACACACAAACCCACTGCCCAATCACAGCAGTGAGATTTAAACTGACTTAAATATTTTTACCTACATTACATGAAAAGAATTTTCTGATAAGCAGTTTTGGATAACAAAGGAAAAAAAGTGGGAAGCACATCTTAGACGAAAAAGCTGGTTGGGTGATTTGGACCAGTGATTCTCTCTCAAACAACCCACCTTACAAGATTGGGGTTTTTTTGGTGGGGGGGAAATAAGAGGATGAAGAAGTATTAAGTGTATTCGTTGCCTTCAGTTATTCCTAAAGTAAGAAAGGCAAGATAATAACAAATAAATAAAATATATTTTTAAAAAATTAGGCCTAGCTGTCGATGTTATTATAAAGGCAGAAGTTTTCAGCCTGGAGAAATTTTGCCCACACCATCGGGATCATGGTAAGTTTCACATGAAGAATTTCATTTTGACTGAATTTGTAGATTGACTTTTTCTGCATTTAATTTTTGAGTTCGATATAGGCATGTTTTGATTTTATAAAAATTTAGCATGTTTTCCTAAACAATTTCCTGCTTTTTCTTACTTAGTATGATAGTAAAACTGTGAACTATTATGGCAGAATAAAAACTGGCTCATTTTGCCCTCTGGATGCATCTTTCTTAACCACTTAATCACTTCTGTATGATTACTATCCAATATACCAAGTAAACTTATTTTATTATTTGGTCTAGTACAGTAAAAAGGGTTTGTTTATGTTTCTATGGAAATGTAGGCTTATTTTTATATATCAAACCACTTAACCTTCTGTTATACTATACATGTATACTTTATGAACTATAATATTGGCCCTGGCTTTTCTCATCATAATCAGCTGTTTTGAGCTACTATGGTTGGGGAGATTACTGCCAATTTAGTCTATATGCTCTTAAATCTACCATCAGAGTAGATCCCAGTTCAGACATGGACTTTAATATATCCAAGAAATACAGTAGGTAGCCACTGATTTATCTTCAGAATACAGTATGTTTGTCCTGACAGATAAACAAAATGTATGGGAAATCTAGCCCCTTTTCACAGAGGTTATGGGTAGTTTTTGTGTTTTTTTAAAAAATGTTTACGTTCAATGGATAACTGAATTACATGAATCATTACTAGGTATGTAAAGCTAAGGAATTAAATAACATAGATGTAGGGGAAGGAATGATAGAACCTGGAGGTGGAGTTAAAAGAGAGATTAACCTAGTATCCCTATGTAGCCATAAGCAGACAAAGTCCAACCCACTTGAATTCTGTGGATTCTTATCTACAGTAGCTCCAAGAAGGTGCTAACTGTTAGTTGACAGGATTTCTGTGCATATGCTGTTTAGCAGTAAATCACTTTAATTGGACCATGTGTGAACCTGGTGTTTCTTGCCTAATAATAATAATACAACATTGGAAGCCTTTAATTAAATTAGTATGAAATTTCTAAACATAATGATAGCATCCATCCGCATCCATTAATCCACTGACAAAATAATATATACTGGCAGAACAGATGTTTCTTATTTATACTCCGCAAGCAAACCTATATGCTTCAGAAACCTGGGAAACTCTCATGGAGCTTTGGGGGAGGTTGAGGCAATATCCTTATGAGTGACCGCCAATTCAAGCAATTGTGTTAATAATATACACATTAGCATAATAATATGATGTAATAAGCAGTTCAAATAATGACATCCCTTATTAAACATTTTATTTTGAAATTTTCTTTGACTAGCCAATGTCTAAATGGAACAATGAAATGCAATGAAGCAGCAGCTGACCCAGCAGGTAACTTTCTTGACTCATTTAGAATAACAATTACCAAATAAGTCTTTCTTTTTTGTTATTTGCAGAAATTATGTTCAACATCTAAGGAAGGGATTAAAATTTGTACCCATATATCTAACTGTGCTTACCAAACCTTTTTCTGCATAGCTGTTGTGTAAGCCATTATTTTCATCCTTACAGTCTTTCTATTTGCCCTTAAACAGAAGAAATATTAGCCACATACAATTTAAGAAAAGGTCTGTAGTAGTGACTGACCCTTATCTAGTTTTAGAAGCTAAAAATGTCGGGCCTGATTAGTACTTGGGTAGGAATCTTCAGAGAAATCCAAAGCTAAAGGCTAGCTAGGAAATTGGGATAGAAAATATCCTAGATAAGTCACAAATGTGTCCATGAAGAATTGAACTCAATTTGAAGAATGCTTAATCTTTTAAAAATTACTATTATATATATTATGTTAGAAGGATATTCAGTTAGGGCATATCACTGGAAATGTAGTGTTAGACGGCAAACCTAACCACTAAGTTTAATTAATTGGACATATAAATATAAAATGATTATATAACATTTGCATTTCATATCCATAGTGCATTCATGTCCTGATGGAAAGATCTACTATGACTGCCAATCGCATGTACCTGGCTTGCCATCAGCTGGAATAAACTGTGAACTAACATGTATAAATATTGCTATGAACTTTACCTGTACACCTTCTCCACCATGTTTGAACGGTTGCATTTGTCCCCCTGGGTAAGTGATACCAAAAGTCAGAGCATGGGATACAACAAATGTATTCAAAGATCAGTTGAATATATGTTTCTTTGACTACTGTATTATTTTTAATTATTCCCAACTACTCTGAATGTAAAGAGATTTCACAGCACTACTATAGGTTTTCTTTTAGGCAACAAATTTAATAGATAAGCCTATAGCTTATCAAACGTAGAAATACATTTTCAATGAAAAGTATTCTTTCTGCGAGTTTTAGGGGATGCCTGAAGTAACCAAAATATCAGATGCAGCCTGATTGAGGTTCCGTTTGTCCATTTCACCATAAAGCTATGTGTAAAGATTCCAAGTTCAACTTTCCTGTTTTTCTGTTTTAAAATATATTTACCATGTGACCCAACAGTGATTTCTATAGAACTCAAAACTTATCTCTGCTCTGCTTTTTGACCATTGAGTCAACTAGAATGTGTACACAGAATGTGTATCTGCTGTTTCTATATTAAAAATATTACAAATATATATGGATAGTTATCCCCCTCCCCCAAAAATTATGTCTTTACTATTTCAAAGGATGGCAGAGCATAAAGGAAAATGTTATGTGCCTGATAGTTGTCCATGCATGTGGAAGGATTGGGAATATATGTCAGGTGAAGTGATTGCTACCCCTTGTTATACATGGTAAGTGTAATCATTATACTTTAATGAACTTCAGAACTACATAGGCTGTGACATGGCCATGCATGTGTTCTTTGAGTTAAAATAATTTAACAATGACTGATGACCTTAATTAGGGTTATAACATTGATGGGTTACCATGGCAACTCCAGAAAAATTGGTGGAAAACTCAATCAATCAGTGAAACAATCAATCAGCTGGCATATCCAAGTAGTAAATGTACAAGAGTCTTCACCTTCAAAACTTAATAGCAATTTTTTTAAATAAAACATTTAAATTATAGATTAATGAATGAAGAAGAAAGTGTTTGTTTAAGTCCACCATATAACATGATGAGTCTTAATCAATATATCTAGGAATATATCTAGGAATATATCTAGGAATATCATAATAATCATTACAATGCAGAAATATAAATTGTTGAGTTCCAAATGCTTCTTTTAGTATTAAAGTTTTTAAAAACTTCATAAACGATTACGTTGCTAGAAACATCAAAATAGTAAGGTTAATTAAAATATGAATGTATATGAGGACTGCCAAAAGGATCCTACCAAACAGCATCATGAACATGCAATTGGCAGGTATTCGGTACAAGAACATATCAAATGTTGCATCTCAGGCTGAAAATTATTTAATTAATGATGGAGTTTACATTGGAAATGACTGGCAAGAGGAGATCTAGGGACTGTGATGGATGCTTTAAGGCAGTGGTCCCCAACCTTTTTATCGCCGCGGACCAGTCAGCCTTTGATAATTTTACCGTGGCCCACTGAGCGCGCGCAGGGGTGGGGGGGGCGTTGTTCGCGACGACACATCGATTGTTTATATATCAGATTGTTTTGATTAAACAACTTTTATTTTATTGTATTTAAACATGCCTTACAAAATAAAATACAATTACATAAATGCTTTAACATTTTAACAGTTAAACTTTAACTAAGCGCTCTAGTTACTAGAATCTAGTGAATCAATGAGAACCCTGAGCTTGTTTTTCTGCAACGAGAGAAAAACTCGTTGTGTTCTCTTCTTATAGGCAGCTCCTCAGCTTATATGAGCGGTAGGCAGAGGTGGGTTGCTCCTGGTTCAGCCCAGTTTGGCCAAACAGGTAGTGGTGGTGGCAGGAGGCTACGCCCAGATGCTTCTCTGCATACGAGCACGTGCACAAGCACGAGCGAAACCAGTAGTAAAGAGGTTAGCAACCCACCACTGGCAGTAGGGCTCCTCTGAGCGAGTCTCATGGCTGCCTTCAACTTCTCTTTCACCAACCGGCCTTCAAAATCAAACCAGTGAGATCTACTCGCTGGAAAACTTTTAGCAGGGGATTTGGTTATTAGATGTTTCTTCAACATCTCACCAAGATTAAGGAATGCTTTGGAGACTGACAGGCAGTCGGTAGTAGAGGACTGGATTGTTTTGGCTCAGTTAATGGCATTCTCCATGTGAAGACTGTCTACCACGGCCCCTGCATCAACTTCAGCCCAGATCCACCTCCTATCTCGGGTCATCTCCAAGTTTCTAGGGAGCCATCTCTCGGCCGCACCGTATGGTCTTACATCTGAGTGACCCCACGATGTCACCCTCACAGGCTGGTGGACACTTTCCTCACCTAAATGTACACCGACCTCTGAGAAAAGATCAACTTTATCTCTTGGTACACAAAAAAGATCCAGGAGGCTACTAGAGTGGGCTGAGTGGTGCATGTAAGGATATATGTCATTATTATCCTTACCTCCTAAAAGCTGAAGATTACCTTTAAAAATTAGAGAGACCTAAAATCCAATTGGCAGCATTAATCTTGTTATCCCTAGAAAACCATTAAGGATGATTATGAAGGAATTCCTTTAGGAATCCTTTCATTTGAACAAACTCATGCAAAGATGGGCCTAATTTAGCATTAAACTCTCCAAGCAATATAATTATGGCTTGAGGGTTCAGTACCCTTTTCAGTGCTTCAACACTGGCCGATTCCTGAAAAAAAACTAAGAGCGCCTGCGCAGCTACATAGGGCTAGCGTAGGCAGCGCTAGTAGCGTAGCCTTGCGCAGGCGCAGTTCAGTATGGTGCTGAAGCGCTGAAAAGGAATGAGAAGGGCGGCGCTGGACACAGGGGGGCGGTGGGTCATGGCCCCCGGCTGCTGCAGCGATCATGGCCCCCGGCCGCTGCGCGGCCCGGTGCCAGGTACTCCACGGCCCGGCACCGGTCTGCGGACGGGGGTTGGGGACCACTGCTTTAAGGGAACCTTGATGCAGCAAGAAATTGCTTTGTGACATATTTATTTAATCCAGTCTCTTCTGTTTATACCAACACTAATAGCATGTAGTGTGTGTGTGTGTGTGTGTGTGTGTGCGTGTGTGTGTGTGTGTGAGAGAGAGAATTTCTACTATAGCACCCACCTTATGGAATATTCTCCCTCTTTAGGGCTTTAAAGAGTAACACATCTTAAATTGTCTCATATAAGCAACTGGTAACCAGTTCATTCATTTTCATTCATATGTATAAAACATTTTAATCCAAATGCATCTGAACCAACGAAGCTACCATTTACTCAATTACCTTAGCTAGAAATGGAATATGTGAAATTATCATATAATTAAAAGGATTGTATGGGTCAAAGGAGAGCTTTTTCAATTAAAAAAATTCTCTTATCACCGTCTCTTTTAAGCACACAAAGATGAAGTGAATAAGGTGTTGATTTCCTACCTTGAATTTGAGCTAGCAAAGAAGGGCTAGAGTCTTCAGTCACCCTATCCACATCCTCAGAATCTACAAGTCTATTGGAGATAATTAGAAATTAGATATAAAATATATTAATATAGAATTCACACATGTATAGGATATAAATGGAGATATGGTGGCACGGTAGTTAGAACACAATATTGCAGACTAACTCTGCCCACAGTCAGGAGTTCAATCCTGACTGGCTCAAGGTTGACTCAGTCTTCCATCCTTCCCAGCTTGGTAAATTGAGGACCCAGACTGCTCAAAGCACTTTGGGCGATGTGTAAGTCAAAGTTCTAGTGCTAAGTGTTATAAATATATTTGGAAGCTTGCTATTTTATGTTTCATGAAAAAAGAGTGTATATATATTTTTAATACGAAAATCTTGATTCTTCCCGTCACACCACAGTATTTGCCGACGTGGGATATTTAATTGTACATACTATCCTTGTCCTGCTGTATGTACAGTTTATGGAGATCGGCATTATTATACTTTTGATGGACTAGAATATGACTATGTGAGTGACTGTCAAATTTTTTTGATGAAGGTAAGAAGACTTGTTTTGTTTTGCTTGTAGAGTAATAAATTCTGTTCAGTAGCTTTTAATAGTTATGTCGATAGAATTTACCCTGTTTACTTCAAATTACAAAATAGTATCAGTGCAAGCCTTTCAACACGTACATTTTAGGTTCTTCTCTTTTTCCTGCTTTATGTATTTAATATGATTATTTTTTCCTGTCAATAAAATAACATTTTCAGTTGCCACATCATAGATTTCTAATGAAACCAGATCAACTGACAGCAACCTTATTTTTTTATGTAGTATAGCCTTTATTGTCATTGCACATCATGTATACAATGAAATTGGTTGTGAAATTGTTATGAAAACTTGATACTCATAAAGTACCAGGCATCAATTTTAAGCAAAAATTTGCTTTACTTTCTATGTTTCTTAGTAGTTGTTAGACTTTTACAGCCACCTGGATTGGAATGATTAATTCAACAAACAAGTTTTGATGAGGAAGATAAAATTAGCAGACTGCAAAAATTCTAGCCAGTACTCTACTTCCAAATGCCTACTTGTATGTAGGCAAATTAAGCCAGCAAGATTTTGTACATTTTCTTGTGCTTTTTCTGCCTCTTTAATGAAGGCAAGGTGTTTCTATATGTTGATTGCTTGGAAGTTGCTTCTAGAGCACTTATCATATTGAGTACCAGCAATCAATTCTCATAACAGCAGATCTTAATCTGATACCTAAAAATAATTTATTTGATCGATACAAGCATAAAAGAAATATAAGAATTTATCTATTTATTTTCTCTCTCTCTCTCTCTCTCTCTCTCTCTCTCTCTCTCTCTCTCTCTCTCTCTTTATATATATATATATATATATATCTGTGTCGTCAAAGCTGAATATTTTTGTATTCTGTTTTTATTTTTTCCAGTTTTTATTTATTTCTTCTTGTATACAGGTGTACTGTATATCTCAACTGTTCCTGGTAATAACCAAACACATAAAATACCCACAGCAAATCACTTTAAATGTAATTGATCAAATTAAACTAAATTAAAAATAATAATAAAGCTATATATCATCATAATAACAAGCAACATTTAGTTTTTGTTTAACTAAAAGATCTTTATCAGGTTCTGTCACTGAAACTTTAGTATGCACAGACAATTGAGTTACAAATGCATGATGTACAAGAAAATTAAACCAGTTTTAACTGGTTAGCCAACATTCAAAGAAAACACATTGCTACATAGCTTTCACATTCTCTTTTAGGTGTGAAAAATTTCTAACTAAGGAGAATTCCAATAGGGTCACCTTTTCTATGGCATAAAATAGACTTTTCAACCAGTCAGAATTATCTGGAGGAATAAGGAGAGAGAATAAATGATAAAATATTCATCACAATATTGTGACATTACCTAAATTATAATTGCCTAAAATTGGCATACAAGCATAAGGAGTTTACATTATAATGTTGTGACGCCTACTTTGTCACAATTTGCCACATTTGCCAAATGCAGAGTCTAAACATATGGAAAGCAGCAACTCCACCAGCAAAGTTAATGATGTGTAGTGGAAGCTTGCAATATATATCTATGTCTTTCTGAAGTATGGCTAATGCTTATAAAGCAAATTCATAATTTCTCAGGTATATGATTTGCATATAAGCAACTTCCTTGGGGTATCAGAAGTTCTAAAGTTTAGGGAAGAAGTTCGGATTCATTAAAAAAAAGATAAGTCCTCATTGCCTACAACTCTTTTATCTAACAAGCAAGATGACACAAGCAATGAAATTATTGTCTGTGTGGAATGATGCTATTAGAATTAGCCTTTTTTATTTTTTATACGTGCAGTTCCCACCTCTCTAAAAGCTTTTGCAAATGTTGCATTTTTTGGGGGAAAAGAAAGAACAATAATTTCAAATAAATAACTAATTTGTTCTTAGTATTTGGACCATATGCAACTGTTGAAGGATTTCTTGGCTTTACAAAAAGTTCATAAATTGTAGTGTAAGCTGGGTATTCTCAGACTATAACAAACTACATCTTCATAGGAGAGATTTGACAAAGCAAATTCCAGGCAAAGAGAGGTAGCAGGATCATATACTCTATATGAATCATATATGGCCAAGTAAAGAAACAATACTTAAAAAAAACTTCAGGCTTACATCATTGCATTCTTTCACCACCAGCTGTCTAGATAGTTAATCTATGTTTATTAATCATTTAGATAGAATCAATTTTCAACAATATGGTTGTCACATTCACCTGGCACTTAAAATAGCAAAGCTATTTCTGCAGAGTGAACAAACATGCAATAAAGAGGGTGTGGACTCATAATGTGGTGTTTGAGATATAGTATATAGCCACCAAATATTATCATTGAACTAATTGCTTTCACAATAGAATTTTCTTAACTCCAGTCTCCATCTTTATTTATGTATTTCTTTGCTTTGTAATTGCTGTCTGTGTGTTTACTTAGCAGTATTTGATTTGGCCATGAGCCTTTTGGAATCTGAATCATTTTACTTCACCTGTTCCCTTTTGAGTGATTGTTATAGCCTACTGTAGAAAAGAGGCGTAACACTTTAATAAAGTTTAATAAGTTCCATCTGCTTGTTTTAAGAAGAAAGATCTATGGGAGGTGAATTGGAAATCTTAATATGCTTTTAAATATAAGTTGCAAAACAGCTAATTATACTTTGTCATTACTTAACTTGATTTTAATTAAAATAGCTTAATATGCTCTGATTATGGGCTGTCCAATCTTTTACTGTACTATCAGATAATCCTGATACAAAATTGTTTATTGCATGACACAAACTATCATGATACCTTGGTATTCAAAACTTCCTGGATTGGTAGTTGAGTCAGTATTGGCCATGGGTATATATATGGAATGATATACCTGATGTAGCCCTCTAATTTAGAGACAAAACAAAAACAGAGAAGTTTATGAAAAAACTTCTCTGCATAAGGCTCTATAAAAGGCTCTTACCTATGAATATTTGTCAAGTGATTGTTTCACCCTGATTATTGCCAGGGCTGCCCTTGTTTTATAAGCATATAAAATTATATCATCTACCTGTTTAATCAGTCAGGCATACAACATATTGATTCCCATAGACACCCCTTTTGTAATTTTAAATTATTTTGAAGTATTTTAAGACAGCTGGAAACAAGTAGGCAGCAATTTCTAGCTCTATAGTTATTTTCAAGAATTATTCTAGGCCTTTATAGGCCTGTAAATATTCTTTAAACATATCAATTTAATTCTAAGTTGTTGTAATGCAATGCTTCAGTTAGAAGTTATGTTCACTGACCAGAGAAAAAAGGATAAGTACCAACAATAATGTGGTATTGAGTCTTAATAGTTGCATTGCATTCAGCCCCAGTTCCAAACACACACATCAGTGTCCAAAGTTTCTCAATCTGGTCTTCATAGTCATTGTAAATACATTTTGCAGTTTCTGTAATAATGATTGTAGAGTGAAGGCTCTGTGGTGAAAGAGATTGAACAATGCCATAGTTCTGCCTTACCTACCTGTGAAATGAATCTCTCTTAACATTGTCAGAAAAACAGTGGAAAATTACTGATAGGGTATATTGAGTTTCATTGCAATAAATTAATTCATTTTACAGATTGTTAAAACTTCATATTAATGACAGTTTCTCAAGCCAAATAAGTTGGGGTTTTTTTGTTTCTCTATTTGTGAGAAATATTCTGTTTTTCTGCCATTGGATGTCTAGTGCAATTCATTAATATGACAAATTAATTAAATTAATTTCCCAATAGCTGGGAATAATATAATTTTTCTGAATAATACCAATTTTTAAAGGAAATATTTCTAAAAATGTTTGTTGCTTTAAGTTTTTGAATTTAACTAGCTATAAGCTTTAGTGTCAACTGTCTTGTTTTGGAGGACTGGTCTGGATTAAAGTTTGATAAGCCCTCTTCATAAGCCCTGTAAAAATAGCATTTATTTCAAATATCTAATATTTTTAAACAAAAGTTTATTAAATTGTCTCCTGCAATCTTCCAGACCAAAGATGTGGGTGGAAGGAAAGTTAGATTTTCCCATTGTATAAAACTGGAGGAAAAATAAGATTAACATCTATGGGAGAGAATAATAACAGTGGCTCTTTTGTTGTTTTTCTCTCCCTAGAATGACGTATTAGAAAAGGCTGCAGATATCACTATTGCCAACTATAGTTTTGAAAAGGAAGGCATTTGCAGAGTGTGAGGCACATGGGAGGAGGTACCTTTCAGATATACAGCAAGCAATTATTTGAACTTGCAAAACTTATTAAAAAATAGTATAAAACTTAGGCTTACAGTTTAAAATACTGCTAGCTCTCTTTTAGTTTTGTATGAAAGGAAGCAAAATTACTTTTATTTAGTTTAATAACTATACTACTAAAACTCTCCTGTCACCTTCAATTGGGCAAAATGGTGCATCACAGGGCAACAATTATTGAATCAATATATCTCAAATGGGCTAACTTAAAGAATGGGGCAATTACTCCTCTAGGATTGAAATTTCAAGGATCTCCAGATCTGTTGTATTGGCAAAGTTTGGGCCATTGAAACACTGCTCTCGTCAGCCTTGGTCACATGATCATGATTTACAACGCTCCCTGCTTAGCTTCCCACTAGAAAAATCAATGGAAGTCACCCCAACTCCCACTGTTTTTCTGCCTGCCTGTGATCATTCTGTTTATTAGTTTAAGTAAGGAAATATCTTTAAAACAATGATCCAATAGGGATGGATCTGTTACAGTGCGATCTGCATCTTTTCTTCCTTAAATATTTCACCATGATTGATAAATATTCTTACTGATTTCATCCTAAATATCTTAATGATGTTCTTGAGAAATCTTCAGTCATGGTTAAGTTTATTTTAACACTGAAAAAACTCTTGTCAGCCTACAGTTATATATTTAGGGATTCCATTGGTCATTTCCATATAGTTACAAAGCCAGTAAAATGCTCTGAAAATTTACAACACAATAGATATGTGAAAAGAGTAGACA